CCTATTCTCTCTGCCTCCGTGGCATCTCTCATTAATTGCCTAACTTGTTCATCAGCCATTTTTAAACAATTCCTCTAAAACTTATTATTAAGCCTCCACAATTGTTAACTATTAAAGGGTCTTGACTAACCTTACAAGAGGGAAGGGTGTCCAAAGCTCTGTAGTTCGTCCGGTAGTGATGGAGGACGGTGCCCCGTCCTCTCCCCAGAGGGTGCCGGAGTCTTGCGACAGAAGCTGCGACCAGACTGCCAGTAGTTCGTGCCTCGGCGTCCCTACTGCGTTGATGGAAGCCAATGGACACAGGACTTTGTTGGACGTTCTGCTGGAGTAGCTAGCTGAGATTTCGCGTTGTCGGTGTCAGGACCCACCGTTGATGTTGGATGACGTTCGATCCTCACCAGCCCCAGTTACTAGCCCACAGATTTTCAGTTGATTGGATTAGAAGAAGATTCTCCTCGAAGAAGCGTCTTCCCTTCAGGTGTTGTCGTCACTCCTCCTGGTCTCGAAGGTGATCAGTCTTCTTGACGAGTTCGTTCACAATGACAATTTCAAGTTGTCTTGGCAAGATCCCGATTCGCTGCCACGATGTTGTATGGTTGGACGTGCAAGACAAAGTGGTAGGTGGACGGAGCAGTCTTGTCCTTCCATACAAACAAATTTAAATCTCTTACGAGTATGTCCGAAAATTACGTGAATCGCCGGTAGTTGTGTGTTTTACCGGATTGCCAGGAAATTGCATGTGACGAACAGGATGTGGAGTGGAGCGAAGTCCAGTCGAAGTTAGAAAAACTCGAAGTCCAGTCTGGTAGATAGGATAGATTTATTAAGTGAGTCGAACAGACGACTTACACCACTGGCTGCTGACTGTTGACTGTCTCAGGAAGGTTATATTCAAAGTAACATACAGCATTGGTCCAGTCATAAGCATAAAAACTAATAACCTCTACCTCCCTCTCAGTTAGTGAGAACTGCTCACTAAAGCTTTGTTTATACTGTAGAAGGGCTGTCAGGTTTACAGCTGTGTGTGTCTTTACTCTGCCATGAACCCAATACTAATAAGTTATCTTGTGGCATGTTAAGAGTTCGTGGTTATCGCTCGGTCTTGACAGCTTAAAATAACAGGAGGGCTTGGTGCCAGGTCCCTATGACATCCTAAAATAACAGAGGGCTCTGTTCCTTATGACAAAGCGTCTCCTCGATAGTGTGCAATTGGTTCGTTAACATCGCCCTCTGCACGACCACCGGGAAATGAGATCTTATGGCTTCTATCACCTCGATGTCGGAGGATCTAGGTTCGAGATATGACGCGGTAGTTGCAAATTTTAAGAAATGGGCACTCAGGGTCAATCCAGACCTGCGATCATACTTGGTCATGTACAAAGAACATTTTGCTAAAGCCTGCCGGGAGGTCGACCACCAATGATTCAAGAAAGCCTTTTTGAAACCTTCGTAATCTTGCAAACGGTGGCTTATGGCCTCTACCCACTGCTTGCCAATCTGTCCCACTATGGACCTACACGCTAATGCTAAGAGAAGTGGTCGTGGCACACCTCTGAAAATCATAAATTCCTCCAAGCGTCGGAGGTGGAACACAGGATTAGTCTTCGTGGCGTCGTCAAATAGTGGAAGGGGCAGTTCCGAATTGTTCAGGAAGCTAGACAGAGTGACAGTCTCTGAAGTCTCATGCATTCTACAAACATTCAAACTACTCTCACCAGTGGAAATGCAAGGGGCCGGTCGGCAAGAACAGCTAGCATTCTCTCCGACCGATCCACCGTTTCCCAAAGTCCCTTCGGGCTCTATGGTATGTTCGTTCACCTGTGCTACCGAAGGAGAGATGGCGTCGCTGCTTATCGCGTGCGCCTTAGGTGTCGAAATTTGCCTCGTGGGCTGTTCACTAAATTTAGACTCTAATTCGGAAACTTTGGCGTTTACCTGGCCTAAATTGCGTTCCACCACGGACTTATCGTGGATGGCCGCTTCTGAGTATTTTCCCAGGCTGTCCTTCAGTCGCGCTAGCTCCTCATCTACCTCTGCTCTGTATTCCTGCACTTGGTCCTCTATTTCATTTATCACCACCTGTGCTGATGTGCTTGCCTGACTTAACCGGGAGTCGAAATCCTCACCGATATTTTGCAGCTGGCGCTTCACCGCTACTAGCTCTGATTTGGTTTCACTTTGGAACTGGCTAACTAGACCTGTGAACCTTCGGCTTTCTGCATCCATCTGGCTGGTAGTTCCCTCCTAAGCTCCCGTGTCTGCTGCTCCAACCGCTGCAGCAGTTTCTCATTTTCAGTTCTAATATCGGCCGTAATGCTTTCCTTTAATAAGGCATTGTCTCTCTGCATGGCGGATATAAATGTCGCCAGCATCCGCTCTAACTGACCCGTAGAACAAGGGCTATGGGTCTGCCCTCTGGTCTCATTCACCTCTATTTCTTCGGTCATAGTTTCAGCACTCGCGCCTACCTGTTCTTGGAGATCTCTGAAAGTTGGTTCGGCCATCTCGCTGGCACTGCCTAAGTTATCCCTCAAAGCATTAACCCTCGGAGGTATATCCTCCCCTGCCGGTGAACCTTGGCTGGCGGGCTGCGCTTCGGTGGTGTGACTCCTCAACACCCTACTGGCCATTATGTTAGTTCACACTGACCTACTTGTGGACAGCTGAAGCTGTGGAATGTGGAGTCCCCGGTTCCGTCCGCCTTGCCCCCTTGTTGTTTGCCCCGTTGTTTCGGTTGTCCGTGCTGTGCTCGCCGTGTTGTGCTTCCTTCCCCTGGGTCTCGTCGTTGTGAAGACGTCGGGCCAAGCGTTGGATGCGCCACTCTTTCTTACCGTCCCCCTCTGTGAAGCCTCAAGCCACACCGGTTGGTCGCTACTCTTTCTCACCATCCCCCTCTGTGTAGCCTCTGGCCACACCGGTTGCCGTTTCTCTTTACCTACCTTCCTTTCTCTTGTCGTTCTCACTGCTGCCGTCGTTGGTCGTGGAGCTTGCAGCTAGGTCGGCTTTACCTGGCTCCACCGCTTCTCCAACTCCACCACTTCTCTTCACTATGGAAAGGGGTATCAGGTCCGGGACTTGGCCTGATTTGTCAATGGGCGCCAGCAACTGTGGGTACAGCTGCGAAGTGAAGGGAAAAGGTGGACGGGTCGGGAGCTGATCGTGGTTGGCGTGAGACTCTGGCTCAGGTCATTTAGGGCCTTACTCCGACAAGGAGAAAGGAACACACTGGACACACAAACACTTAGCACCACTTCATTTTTGGTTTGTAATCCGGGCGTCACTGAGATACAACACAGTTTGTTACTTCTCCATGATCTCCACCCGTTGTTCGAACACTACTTTCACTTAACAGACGATGGAGAGGGCTAGCTCCGCGTCCGGCGAGTTTAACTGTTCTTACCAGAGACTTTTTAAAAGAACTGACTGTTTTTGCAGATTCAGAGGAATTTTGAGGAACGCCTCGTTGCCATCCGCCAAATCTCCGGGTTGGCTGGATTTAGAGGGGGGAGGGGTTCAATAGAGTTTCTCATTCCTCAAATGGTCAGCTGTTTCGCGGCAAAAGTTGGGGTTCACACGCTTTCATAGTCTTTCTGACCCATGGTGGATTGAGAGGGTTCAATCTGACGGTCTCCTAAGGGTAGGTCCGTGACGAATCATGTGTTGAAAATTGGTCCCTTTCCTCTACTAATGAAACAATTCGCCGCTCCTTTCTAAAAGCAGGTTTTAACATTTGGAGAGTTATGACCGGTTAGAGGGCCATCTCTCTATGTGACAAAAGTTCTTCCCAAAGTCTTTTGGACAGATTTCTCTTTTATTAGAACATGGCTCTTTCTAAAGGTAGGGAGAGTGTCAGGCTGGTTTGGGTTTAAGTCCGGGGATTTTGACCCTTCATAAACTTTACCATCTCGGAACTGCGAAAGGGTTCAGGTCCCTTTGGTTGCAGTGGGGTGTGAGGTATTGCCTCTGCTTTGATGTAGTGACAAGTACCGATACACGTGAACAAAACATTGTAGTCCTTTGCATTGTATGGTTACAATATTCACATAGTACATCACAATGAATTTATCCCTAACACTGCTTATGTGGCTAATATCTATATTATAAGGGACTAGAAAAATTTATAGTGTGCATAAAACGTACTTTGTTGTTATGTAACTTTTATTCTTTGATCGCCTTACAGAAATTTGGAGATTAAAACATTTTTTGAACAATAAACTCACAATAAGATTTAGCTTTAATTATAAACTTTGAAAAATAATGCGAGTATAATTAAAACTTTTTTTTTGAATAAAGAACTTGCAATAAGATTTTACTTTAATTTATACACTTTGACAAATAATATAATTAAAACTAAAATTAGAGTCAATTTTACCGACCACACAACATATTTCTATTATTATTACACTACATGTTTCGACCTCAAGAGGTCATCCTCAGGTGTATGAACACATCTGTACAATTACATGCAATCACACATGTCTTCTCACTTATTCGATCCTGTATCGTATCCAGGCTCACGGCTCCTCATACAAAACACAAGTTAAAACACTATTCCAAATGTCCAAAAGTTTAAATATTAAATTTTGACATTTATAATAATATTTTAACTTGTGTTTTGTGAGAGGAGCGTGATATATTATTGAGCGTGGGGCTGAATAAGATACAGGATTGAATAAATAAAAAGATGTGTGATTGCGTGTAATTGTACAGATGTGTTCGTACACCTGAGGATGACCTCTTGAGGTTGAAACA